TAGTTCATCACGGAAGATTGCGTAATAAGGGGGTTAAAACAAGAAAACAAATGCCATGTTTAATACATATCGACCTGTTTTACTTGCGAAAGATAACGGAACATGAACTCGTTTCGTCCGACTTCGGAACCCGAAGGAACACACCAACAACGTTGAATTTACCTGCTATCTTCCAAATATGGTATATTAATTTATTCAGTTGTTTATTTAGAGTGACGTCCGCGGTCGAATGCGATTGGCTATCGATGTCAGTGCAAAGGTCATATGAATATTAAAATTAAGTGGGCGGAAGGAAAATTGTATAGGAGACAAGCTGGAGTCTCGTGTGGCGATAGCGATAACACCGGGACGAATGGTCTGGGGTATACATACGGACATACATACGGACATACAGACATACGGACATACATACGGACATACAGACATACAGACAGGGTAACTGCAAAGACTCCCTTTTGTGCTTCGCACACGGGAGTCAATATAGTACAAAACAAATGTATAACTCATTCTCAGCAATGAAATAAAGAAATGTATATATATTTAAATTATTACTAATGCATTGCAATACAACTAATTGAAATTGAAAGAAATTGCAATGTAAAATATTCCATCAGTAACACTTCTCGGAGTCATATTTCGCGGTCAGTGTTATTTACGAAAATAATAGTTCACAATTTTATAAATTGGCTTGGCAATTCTTACCACCAATTAGATATGTGTAGGCCTGAACATGTAAAATCGGGAAAATTAGGGAGTGGGCTTATACTCGAGGACCACCTCAGAAAAGATCATTTTTCAGGGGGTTTAAAATTGTAACCATCTTCCCAACCACGAAAAATTATCCAAATTACATTTTTCGTTCACAGCGCCGGTCTCGGAGAAAGTCTTTTGATTTCCACAACACTTTTTACAATGAAGAAACAAACATGTTCATAAAAATACACACATTTTATAACAATACAGTTTACATATCGTCTGAATTTACGATGCAAAAATAGGTAGGGTCTGTGGGAAAACTGTCAAAGGCAAGATCTTTGTTGCTACTACTCTAAATATCCAAACATATTTTAGTATAATGTGGTAATAACGACTGCACCGTTACATCGATATGTGCAGTTTAAATCACTTCATTATAATACTAGATGAGGGTGAAGTACAGTTTTTCAAAATGAAAAGTGTCCATTAGAATATATTCATTTTGAATTACATACAATGTAGAAAAAACAAGAAATGAAGAATAGTTATAAGTTTGCAAATCATTAATGTTAATTCCTCTATGAAATCATGACACAGCAAGCCATCTGTCAAACGGCACCGTCAAGTCTAGAACAAAGCAAATGCAAGAGTATTTTGCAAAGTTGTTAGCCATCCTAGTAACTGAATAATTCTCAAAATGGCTGTAAGTTTTGTGCACTTCTATTAGAGCCAATATGGTATGATGCTGTACTGTCCAGTATAATAATTCTTTGTTTTTTTCTTCCATTTCATTCTGATGGTAGTTAGTATTTTGTCAATTCGTTTCTCCAAGTGTATGCTTATTTCATATTTGATTAGTTACCATACTTCACCGGTCTAGGCCCAGGAGCTTCAAGATCTTAGCTTAGCTTAGGGAAAGTAAATACCCTCAGACTATTATACTGTAGCCTATCTGCCATTGAGGGCACTCTAATCATAACGCTATGACGAGACTGAAATTCTGCATTCTGTCATGATTGTTTATGACTGACAGAACTTTCAGTTTCCACTACGACCAGGGATATTTTATACAGTTCAGTTATTGTTTTCAATTAATCGAAAACCCTCCGTTTTGTCACTATTTTTGTGCAAATGAGTTACTACATTGTGTGTATATAATAATATTGATCTTCATGTCTACTGACTTAGGCCATGACTCATGTTTTCATTTTAAATTATAAAATTAAAAGTAGTATAGTGTACAAATGTATAAGCAGTTTATTTTTGATACTGTAAAATGACTAATTTTCCCTGGGTTTAAATTTCACTGATTTAGCATTTCAGGCATATTCAGCGGGTTTTAAATTCACGGTTTCGTCATTTAGATAATGTGTTCTATGCTAAATTTTACATATTCACTGTGTTTTAATTTAGCGCATTTTTCCAGTCAGCGAAATAAGCTAAATTAAAACCCAGTGAATAATTACCCCCTTTACAGTAATAACATCTTGTTTGCTTATTTTGTTAATGATCATTAATGAATCGTTTTAATTAACAAAGGATACCAATGATAGCAACAGCAGCGGCGAAATCCTGTTTGCAATGCCATCAGTGAGCAGTCACAGAAAAAAAAAATTTTGTCAGTATCGATTTATTAATTTCATCATATTTTGATTTAACCAAAATGTTTTCCCTGACGTCATGAACATACATGGGCATTAAAACTGACTGTGCTTGTTGTAGACAAAATAATGATGAACCAGTTACCTTCATGGATAAAAATACTTAACGACCATGGCTATAACATTCCAAGTATTCCTTCATTAAAAAACCTGAATTTCCTGAGCTGTAATTCCATTGCTTTTTGTGCTGTTCTATTTCAGACTTTAATAATAAAATACAATGGAGTAAGTTTTATAAAATATATCAGCCTATCTTGTATATAGATTGACTAATTTTATTCACAATAACAATAACACACTTGTATTGACTTGTATAGCAATGATTGTTAGGAGAAACTGATCATTGTGTAAATAGAATTATGCAAAAAATATGTATTGGTATGCAAATTAGCCATGATGCTTGACAATGGAGTCTAGGAGAACACTGAATATCAATATAAAGTACATATATTTTAACACATGATATTGTCACCCATATCATCGTATTGCTGCTCCTAATTATGGAGAAAAAAATTGTATTATTTTTGTTTGATATTTCATATTGATACATCTTTATAATTTATTGTCGTCAATAAAAACTTTGTTTTTGCTGCTCACAAAATATTGAACATGTGCAACAATATACATGCAATTTCATCATCAACATGTGTATTTCAAAACACATGCACATTTGCAAGCAAATACATGTACAATTTTGTGTACAACAAATATGTTTTTTAACTTTAGTAGTATGGTAAATCCAGTGTGTTAATCAACATGCAGTATCAAATATTTTTAAAAATATGCTCAGTTATTTGTTTTGCTGCTTCTAGTATTTGTTACCATCTTCATGCCAGACACAAAACCTGTTTAAAAAGGATCTAGTGAGTGATTTAGGACTACTTCAGGCTGTCTTTCACTGAATAAATCATCCATGCACATCAAGCTATTTTGTATTAATTAAATATGCATGCTTAAAGGCCCATATCACTTGCCCTGGGCAAGTGTGAATTGGAGGTGTGGCTATGCCAAAGAGTGTTGTTAATCACTTGCGTAGCCTATGACGCATCCTGTTTCAGCCGTCCAACATCACGTGACTTTGATTGACAGTAGTAATTATTCAAGATTAATCACACGTCCTTTTCTCCGGTTCATGTTTTTTACTTTTATCCGCCAAAATCTCAGCTCGTACACTATTTATTGTCATAAATACTACACACAGTCACTGCTGTGATATTCATAGTCACATGCATCCACTTTGGCACGACATAATTGACCTGTAAGTTCGCGAAAACGCGTTTTTACCAGAGCTTGGCTGGAGCTGTTTACTACAGCGTGACAAGCAAGGAAATAATCCCTATTGTTTAAGAGCGTATTTATAGTATACCTGGGCATTTAAGTACAGTGCATGTTTTGTAATATTTGTTTCCTATTTGCCATACATGTTTGTAACACACTCACAATGTATATGTACAGTGTTTTTTTCCTATCTTGTACAAGTTCTGGGTCCTTCTCACTGGTGTCTCGATATTAATATTTTCTTCATTTATTTTACTAGAATGTTCAAGGTATGAATTCCAATGTGATAATGGGGATTGTATCGGGATTTACTATGCATGCGATACGATTGCTCACTGTCTAGATAGGTCTGATGAAAAAGGCTGTGATTATGGTAAGAATGCCAGCATGATGTGTGCAAGTGGTTTTACTAATTAAATTTACCTTGCGTGCTGCAATTAGTTGATTGTATGTATTGTTTGAATATATTTTAGTGAGTGGATTTGTGTATTATTTTCTGTGCCTTAGCAGTCACTGTAATTACATATAATTACTACAAATGTATGATTCACTTATACTTATGTAGTTTTATAGTGTCATCTGGGCTTCTGGTTAGAGTTAAATACTTACAGCCAGTGTGGTTAAAGGAAAGCAGAGATCAGGCTTTTGCTGCTCTGTGCAGGGAATTTGAGATCAATGAATGAATTCTGGTGATAAAAACAACTTGTATGTGCAGCAGAATGCCCTATATATTGGCTATAAAATTGGCTGTGAAGTAGACGACATACATCTTCTTTGCATGATAATGGAACCCATTCAGTCTAGTACATCAACAATCCCATAGAAGTGCAAAAAAAAAAGTTAAAACATGGTGAGGTGCTTATGTATGCCATAACAATTCATGTATTACCCCAGTTTTTCAAAATCTCAAATGAAAAATCACATTGTTGGTTGCAAAAAAATTGGCAGAGGACCTGACCTGAAAGTGTTGACACGTACAATCTACAATCTATTAGTAAACAGTAAATAAATATTGCAACGTACGAGTTAAAACTAAATAATTAGAAATATGCCAAAATCAGTTAAATTATAGTACTTATTTTGCCCAACTTTCCTGCTTTTTAATCAACCGATATTGCAGTGTTATAGAAAACACTGAGCACTCGCCCAAACACAGATCACTGTCGTCGAAATGGTGGTCTTATTGGTAAAGTTTGAGGATACAAAGAGTATCAACTGTTATTAGTCTCTGTTTGAACGAAGTCCGAAAACGGGGACTTATTCGGTCTCTGTCAGTGCGTCTGTCCGTGTGTCCATCCGTCCAGAGTCATATTTCAGAATCCTTTGGACCGATTCTGTTCATTCTTTGCATGTGCCTAGTACTTTATTTGGGACATATGCACATGCAGTGGTTTAGCGATCCATTCAAAATGGCCCACTGGCAGCCACAATTTGTTTCAAAATCGGGTCAAGGATGGCCGATTGACAGCCATCAAACTTTTTGGCTTTACTACTATATTTCCAAGATTTATTTACCATTTTCATTCGTATTTGGCACATACATCATACATGTCAGTTTGTTTCATAATCAGATCAAAGATGGCCAAATAATGGCTGTTTTTATTTTTGGCCATATTACTACCGTACTTATCCGGGCAAGAGCCCATGCCTGGACAAATGCCCTCCCCCAACTTTTGACACAGTAAAGAAGTTGAGGTCATATCCGGGCACACGGCCAGGGGGTCTTTTTCTACACAAAAAAAAAAAAAAAAAAAAAAAAACTATTTTCTATTCGTTGACTGTGGTTGTATTAACCATTGACTTTCTTGAAGTCTGTCGTGATACTTATAAAAAAATTTAATTGCGTAAAACAAGGGGTGAACGCAAAATAGATGAGACAGCTTTCTGCCTTCAGGGCAGCGCGTTCACCGCTGATTTTTTTTTCAGAATCATAACAGTCAGCAAGTCTACAAAAATAAATATTAAAGCAGAAATGGTATTTCTCTTTTTACCTTGCCCGTACCATCAAAGATGGAAGGGAAAGGTATATTAAGGGAAAAATTTTGTCCGTCGTTGTTGTCGTCGTCGTTAATAATTGTTATTGTGTGCATAATAACTTTACTAATTCTATTCCAAACTTTATCAAACTTGGTCACCTTATTCATCAGTATAAAATCTTCCCTGAGTTTGAACACAGATGTCCTGTATGAAAATATCATGCAAAATTGAGAAATCTGATAAATATTTTGACTGTTTCTACTGACTGA